TTGAGCCTGGTAACAATTGCACCAGCGGTCAGCAGATCGCCGATGCCATGCAAGGCTGCTGCAGACCGTCAGTGTAAGCTAGTACACAATGACAGAAGCTATGGATCGAACCGTGGAATATGTAACCCATTCCCAAAGGTGAACTTATCCTTTAAAGAGATGCACATAGTGCTCATTTCATTGGCAATGAGATTGCTCAGGTAGTGACAATGAAAACAGACTCCCTCACTTCCCCAGTCACTTCCAGAAAGGACAAGTTAAAACAAAAAGCAATTTCTTTTAGACATCATACGTAAGGAAATCGGAAATTAAGTTTGCTAAAATTCTTGCTATGTATACAGGTCACATTTTTGTTTTTAATCAACAAAACTGGAGCTTTACCCTAACTTACCATTGAAATCAACATTCACATATGTGAGGGTTGTGCATGTGCGCTTGTGCAAGGACACTGCAGATACAGCATCCCATTAATTTAAATGGGCTGCTGTACCTATGATAAACGTGGGTAAAGTCCTGGAACTTTTTTTAACAAATGCGCTGTATGGAGCAGTGTTATCTGATGTGTGCAGGTGTCCGTAAGAATTAATAGCACCCCAGGGTGTCTGCTAAAGAGGTGGGGAACGTGCATGATTATGGATGTATTCCCAATCTGCACAAATGTGAACCGGAATCCTAACAATATAGAAAATACAACCTAGGCCCCTTTCACATGAGGCAGACTGTGTTAGGGGATCAGCGGACAGATCCCCTTCTGATCATGTTGATCAAAGCAGAGCAGATGACAGGTCTATGTCCGCTCAGTTTATGCAGAGCAGACATGGACAGAGCCCACTCTGCTCTATGGGTGACCGGGTGTAAACACCACTGTCTGTTTACATCCGACTGCCCTGCGATCCACCTAGACAGACGAGGGACAGATCCCCTTCTTTCTGTGTTTTTTTTTTTGTGGATCGGATCAGATTGGAGGTAGGTTGGTGTAAAAAGACATAAATCCGTTTATTCCTGCTGGTCCATAGGGGTGAATGCAGGGTCGGATCAGGTTCGCCTGAAAAACTGACAGGTGGACCTGATTGAACCCTTCATGTGAAAGGACCCTTATTGGACATATGCCTCTTAAATTGTAAGCTCCCAGGAGCAGGGCCCTCCTAACCCTCTTGTATTGAACTGTATTGTTGCTGTATTGTCTCCCTTTACATTGTAAAGCGCTGAGCAAACTGTTGGCGCTATATAAATCCTGTATAATAATAAATAACAATAAAATAATATGACAGGAATAACCTGATGTATTCTACAATACTACCACTAGATATCACTGTTTATAGATAAATTGTCTGACTTTAGTATTATCTACTTTCAGAATGTTCTGAAGGAAAAAAAAAAAAAAAAATCTCAAAGAAGACATTAACTAAACATCTCACAAATATGGTGGCAAGTCACCTTACTCAATTCAGATTGTACGTTTTAATGGTTTAACCCTCTTACGGGTGTGGGCAGCCTGCCATTTTGTGCAACTGATGCATAAACCAATTTTTTTTTTATAATTTTTTTTTTTACACACCTCCCTTTAATGCACATAAAAGATTTAAAAATTCACTTCATCCTATGTTTTCTGAAAGCACAAAATTGATAACTTTTGCGATGAAACTATATTATTAAAACCAAAATGTAAAATTAAAGTAGAACTAAAAGACAAAAATTTTTTTTTTTGTTATTTTGAATAGAACAAGGGAGGATTACAACTCGTCAGTTTTATTCTTGCCATCTTTGTCCCATTTTGCTCCATAGCCAAAACAGGAAGTGAGAGGAAACCCCACAAAAGTGAGGGAATCCCTGGTTGTCACCAGAGTCACCAAATCGATTGGTCCTCATTGGAAGATTTGTCCTCTATTCCTGTTCTGGGACAACCCAAGATTTGGGTTTTTTCTTTTACCTTTTACTTTCAATGATAATACTAAGCAGGACAAATGGAGAGGGCGAACCTCCCAAACACGGATGCCAACAACAATAAAAACCGAACTTGGTTTCTAATCCCTATCCCACTCGGTCCAAAACTACAAAACAAAGTTTTGCCTTTAGTTATACTTAAAGCTTAAAATGTATGCAACAATAAAACTTTTATTTTTTTAAGTTTTGGATAGAGTTTGGAAGAGTTAAAACATCTGTCAGGTTTTCATTGTTGTCTACATCTCCATGTATGTGACTATTGTCTCCAGTACAGAAAATGACTGAAAGCTTAAAATGTTTGACAAGAACAGAACAGGAGGTGAGAAGAAATCTGCCAATGGGGAAACACATTAGGGTGACAGCTGTCTAAGAAGGGATATTCCCTACTACAAATAGATCTCTTCTCATTTCCTGTGCGGTCTTTAGGACAAGGGAAGGAAAATCTCCTTGACATAACACACAAAACCTGGCCAAGGTCTTAACCATTCTCTACATTATCTAAAATGTAAAAAGTAAAAGTTTTATAAAATTACACTTTATTTTCGATTTCATTTTCAGCCATCCCCTCTATCACGGGGCTTGCAAAAGGAATGTTTTAAGCAGGTGTAAAGTGGTTCCAAAGACTACACATTTTTTACCTTAATGCATTCTCTGCACATTGTAAGTTTATTGAATAATATTTCACACGATTGTTTAGAATCTTTATAGGGTAGCGCTGCTCTATATTTCTTTATTTATACTTTGCTTTTGCCATGTGTTTGACACAGTTCCCCACACACGGCTAATGTTGAAGGTTAAGTGTACAGGCTTCGAAAAATCTGTATGTAAATGGATAGAAAACTGGCTAAAAGATCGTATTCAGAGAGTAGTGGTTAATGATTCATACTCTGAATGGTCTAGGGTCATCAGTGGTGTACCCCAAGGTTCAGTGTTGGGACCCTTACTTTTTAAATATATTTATAAACAATATAGGGTTTGGGATTAAAAGTCCCATTTCAGTCTTTGCAGATGACACCAAGCTGTGCAGTGGAATAACGTCCTTACAGGATGTCTCCAACTTACAAGCCGACCTCAATGCACTGTTTAGTTGGGCAACTATGTGGCAAATGAGCTTTAATGTTGATAAATATAAGGTTATGCACTTGGTGGCTAAGAATATGCATGCATCATACATACTAGGGGGAGTGCAATTTGGGGAATCAATGTTGAGAAGGTATTTTTATTGCCTTCCTCTGGATCAACTGTGGGTGTAGGATTCCGTACATGGAGGTTTCCTATATATTTTATTTTTTTTTTTTTTTTTCTTATCGGTTGAACTGGATGGACTGGTGTCTTTTCAACTGACTAACTTTGTAACTACGAAAAGAACTACACGCTGTGTACTAGGAGTAGGACATCCATTTAAGAGATAACAGATGAACATGTAAATTTCCAGAACAGTTCAGGACTGAGCATTTGGATATGTATTCCTCACCCAGCCAATGAAAGACTGAATCACCGCAGGGATGTGATATTCCTGTAACTGAAAGATTTCGGGTGGCTCGCAGTCCACTGTAAATCTGTTGGTGTCGCTGTTATACTCCACAGGGCACACAAAGTACTTGTATCCAGCCATGAAATAAGAAAGCTAAGGAAACAGTGAAACTCAAATTAGTGAAAAGGAACAAGACATAGCAGCATAGTAATACGGCAAGAAATAAGAGCCAAAGAGCTACAATTTTAAAAAAAATATGGTTTTTCAAAGACCAGCCTACACAACCTAAAAATTATTACTGATGTTTCCTGTCGATGGTATGAGAGAGAACATAACATCCCAAGTACCTTAAAGTGGTTGTAAATCCTAAAGGTCTTTACCTTCATGCATTCTATGTATGAAGGTAAAAAACCTTTTAGTATGCAGCATCCCCCAGCCCCCCCTAATATGCAAATGAGCCCAAATCTTGATCCAGCAATGTGCAGCTGCTGTCCCTCTTTTCTGCCTGCTCATTGGCTCAGGAACAGCAGTGGTAGTCATTGGCTCCCGCTGCTGTCAGCTGCAGCCAATGAGGAGGGAACGGGGGTGGTGCCGAGCCGCACGCTATGCGTCTTGAGGACACACAGAGCGGGGCTCAGGAGCGAACACACACACGTGCCCCCCCCCCACCTCGGCAGAGAAACAGGGGTAGGAGTCCAGAACGCTAGTGGGGAACTAAAGAGGAGGAGAACCAGGACTGGTCTGTGCAAAACTCTTGCACAGAACAGGTAAGTATAACATGTTTGTTTGTTATAAAGAAAAAAAAATTTAGGCCATTAGTATGACTTTGCAAATCCAGAATAATTTCTTGTCTGTTATCTACCCATTTTTAAAGCCCAAATGAACCCTCTGGACTTATTACAGTAATGCAGGCAAGATGTATATACAGTAATAAATATGTCCATCTTGTATATTTGCTAAGTGCTGTAGTAAGGGTTAAAATACCCTGTTCTGACACAGCACTAGAAATGTCAGACCACCGCTAAGCAAAGTGTAAATGAGAACCAACATCTGTGTCCAAAAAAGAAAGGCTTTCTTTTAGGGAAAATATTAAACACTGCAAAGCTCAAAAGGGCAATAAACCCTTTACAACAGACACTAAAAAAACAGATACACTCTCCATTCTAGAGATTGAATAATATTCACAGTTTCAACCCAAACAATCAAGTAAAGATAACATTGTCTAAGATGATCTTCTCTTCACTTTAAAAATGAGGTCCAATAATAACTGTAATAAAAACAAAAAAAAGTATGTATATGCATCAAGTCTTTGGGTGCAGTTACACCTGCAAATACACCCAACAATGATTTCATGCCACTGGGCACGATTAGCTGTGGGAGCCATTAGCCTCCCCTTTCTTTCAATGGGGCTGCCTACCGCAGCTAATTGCTGGAAACCAATTTAATTGGATAAATGCCACCATATTAAGGGGGGGGGGGTAACCTTATATTTAGCTCTCAGTCTCACCAAAAATAAGTGTGTGGGTGTGAAACCTAAAAATAACATAAGGAAACAAAAAGCAGCTGCAAAAGGCAAGCTACCAAAGTAGGTAATAATACACACAAGCAGAGTATCTCCACATGTAAAAAACATTATTTTATTAATTTCCCAAAAAAAAGGTGATGATATCTTCAAACAGTGAAAATCTTAAAAACAATCCGGATTGTATAACGCCAATAACATCAATTTAGACAAATAGTGAGGTATGATAGCTGTCGCTAATTGTTCCTGATTAGGAGCAATGTTGGGCAATAACAGTAAATCCCTGAAGGGGCAATAAACAGCATATGGTCTACTGTAGAGTGTTCACAGTAATGAATAGTCTCTGTAATGGTCAAAACACAGTGTGAGTCCATAACTCACAAGCGAACCAGAATGGAGGGGCTCAACACAGAATTCAATTTCAAGGTTTTCCTAGGTCAAAATTAAAAATAATTTTTTGATACTCTGTATAAATATTTGTAAAAAACTAGTTATGATCTACAACAACATCTTTGCTACATTATATTGAGATGCCTTTTTGTTATGCCTTTGTCCGTTGGCTATCTGTATAATATACTTACGATGTAACCTAGCTCTTTTTAACTAATTTAGTATTTTGCAATGATGACATCATGACATTGGGGGGTGCTGTTACACGTCTATAATTGAAAACTAAGGCATTTAAAGCGGAGTTCCACCCATTTTTAAAAGTTGCTTTCATCTATATGCCCACCCGCAGTGAATTCCTTAATGGATATTATTATATATTTGTTTTATTTCTGAATACCTTATTTTTTTCTGTGTATGCAGCACTTCTGGTCCGGCCGCCTAGGCGATGTTGTCATAAGGTGCTTCCCATGGACTCCTAGGATATTGGCGTTATTTATCCCAGGAGTCCAAGCAAAATGACTAAAAATGAAAAATCGCGTTATCTCCCAGAGCGTATCCGACGTCCGGGTCTTCTGATTGACAGGTTGCCATAATAACAGGGTGGGAACTTCCGCCGATGCCACCATTTCTATGGCAACCTTCAATCAACAAACTGCACTGCATAATGTCATTACTGTCCAGGCACAAGATCTGAAGGTGCATGCTGGGTAACCAGCTGCACCGAATCCCGGAAGTGAACAGGAGCGGGCTTCAGATGCCCACATCTACCATGGCCCCTGCCTACTGACAAGATTGTGTGATCGATTACAGATGTAAGAATAACAGGTATGAATACAGTTATAACAATAGCCCATTATTTCAGTACAAGTAATAACAATCATGATGGTGCTTTTAAAAAAAAAAAAAAAATTGCTGTGGAGCCTGGAGCTCCACTTTAAGCAGCTAGAAACAGATCCCTCCTTGTTCTGAAGAAGTCCACAGTGATTGGCGAACAAAATGCATCAACGTAATGACGTCATGACACCCGGAAATAGTGATCCATGAGGTCTTTACACTCGACATGTGAGAACTATCTAATGACGCAAGTGCAGTCCAATAATTTTCGGAGGTCTGAGAGAGTTCCCCACCACTTGTTCACACGATATCTTACTGTGTATAAAGGCATAGACAGTGCATAACTACGGAAATGGAGGCGATGCCGATCATATTGCTTACGGAGCCAAGAGAGGCTGAACTTCTGGCGATTCCTTTCATATGGTAGTAGTAAGGTAGTGTGAGAAGTATCTATATACGATCTACATACTATCCTTACCCACACTCTACCAATGCAATTCCTCTCTCATCCCCCACATGGTCTTCCTATCTGCCTACATCGGCCCCTGTCATCATATCCATTACATGCTGGACACGATTGGATAAATAGGAACTGTAGCCTTATCACCATTTAAGGCATTTACCTGGACATGCAACTCTGTTCACAGAACTTTGCCTCTATGCCATTACTCTGATGGATACTTACAATGTATCATAATCAACTGGGATTATAAAACTCCACAGCTGTTACATCCATATTCTGAACCTCCATTCTGGTTCACTTGTGAGTTATGGGCTCACACTGTGTTTTGACCATTACAGAGACTATTCATTACTGTGAACACTCTAGACCAGTGGTCGGCAAGCCGCGGCTCGCGAGCCACATGCGGCTCTTTACACACTTTAATGCGGCTCTTCTGTGTGCCGGGCGCCCGCTCCCCTCCCTCCTCTCGGGCGGCCGCCCCAAAAGTCAGGACTCTGCAGCTAGCCCAGCAATGGGCAAACTACGGCCCGGCGGACCTTTTAATCCGGCCCGCGGAGCGTGGCAAACATTGGCTGTCAGGATGTAGGCGGGGCAGCCAGGATGTAGGCGGGGCAGCGTGACGAACTCCTCTCCTCTCACAGTCCGCCCTGAAGACCGGAACGGGAACACGGCGAGAGGAACGTGCGGAGCAAAGGTAAGTGAATTGACACAATATGGGGAATGAATTACTATATGGGGGATGAATTACTATGGGGGATGAATTACTATATGGGGGATGAATTACTATGGGGGGTGAATTACTATGGGGGGTGAATTACTATATGGGGGATGAATTACTATATGGGGGATGAATTACTATATGGGGGATGAATTACTATATGGGGGATGAATTACTATATGGGGATGTATTTTCAGTTTTAAAAATGTGGCTCTCAAAATAAAATTTCAATTGTGGTTTTGGAGAGATTTGGCTCAGTTGAAAAAAAAGGTTGCCCACCACTGCTCTAGACCATATGCTGTTTATTACCCTTTCGGGGATTTTCTGTTACTGCCCAACATTGCTCCTAATCACGAACAATTAGCGACAGCTATCATACATCACTATTTGTCTAAATTGGCGCTATACAATCCGGATTGTTTTTGATTTTAATGGTGTTTTAGGTGGATGTGCATGATTTTGATGTTTGAAGATATCACCTTTTTTATTGGGAAATTAAAAAAATAATGTTTTTACAAGTGAAGGATCTCTGCTTGGGTGTATTACCTACTTTGGTAGCTTGCCTTTTGCAGCTGCTTTGTTTCCTTATATAATTGCTGGGAACCCCCTGCTGGAGTTCTCACATGTAAATCGGTGTTGGGTACGCGCTCACAGGTATGAATGCATCCTTTATCAAGCTTTGTGTATAGTTGCTTAGAGTTCCTGATATACACAACTTTATTTCATTGTGATGAATATGCGGACAATGACTTCTGGGCAAAGCACTGTACTTACTAGTATTCCAAACAGAACTGTAGAGAAGAAGCCTCCAATAAAGCCTTCCCACGTCTTCTTGGGTGACAGCTGGTGTGAAAACATGAGAAGAGCTAGATCAGAACAGTGCAAGATCAAGCAAGGAATAACATAAACAATCTATGACAGTTATTAATCCATTCAAAAAATTGAATTGGCAACTTACACCCATATATGGGGAATAAGCTATCCTAAAACAAATAACTAGAGTTTCTGGTATGTTCTCTTTATTATGGTCAGGACTAACTATTGACTAAATATGTTTTTTCCTTTTATTAGCTTGGTAAATATGAAACATTACAAATTATGTAGTCTTTTAGTCAAGTAGCATGTGGGTCGTATTTACATGCTTTCCTCTGTTTCATTTGCTCCTTTGTTGATAGAAGTTTACACAGAAAAAAAAAAAACCTCAAAATACAAAATAACAGATCAAGAGCACTTGCTGAAAATTACATGTTTCAGAGCAGCGACTCACACTTTTTTTGGACAGGCAAGTCCAAGGATTCAATCAGGCAGAGCCAGCTTTTGCTCAGCTTCTTTAGCGAACCCACAGTGCTCCTGTAATTTTCTTAATTGTGAAACAGTGTGTGTGTTTAAAAAAAAAAAAAAACATACAACATGCTGGCCCCAAACATATTTCCATCTATTAAGGTAAACAAGAAGTTCATCTTCAGAACATGTTACACATTTCTCCTGTATTTAGGGTGGAACATGTAACATGTTCCAGCTCCTGCCTCCTTTCCCCCCCCCCCCCGATCCCCACCCCTGTAATAGCAGGCAGGGGATCTTCTCCCCACACGCACTGTCACAAATTGAAAACAGCGCCCTGCGGGGCTTCGTCCACGCAGTCACATCATTCATTCAGAGTTCTGTAAGTGAAAGAACAAAAAGAAAAGCGCACAGACCTTGTGCATTACCTCAGTAAACTGAGTATATATCTCAATTTAATAAACTCACAAAGAAGTAAAACAAGCGTATAGGATCCTCAAAGGAACATTTGAAGTGTAAAACCAGAGCGAGTCACATCACGAGGGCAGACTTTTAAAGTTCCACTGACGCGTTTCGAAGGGGTTCCCTTCTTCATCAGAGAGCTCTGATGTTCCTTTGAGGATCCTATACGCTTGTTTTACTTCTTCGTTTGTGAGTATATATCTCTATCTCAATTTAATAAAATCACAGTTTACTGAGGTAATGCGCAAGGTTGGTGCGCTTTTTGTTTCACTTTGCAGTACTGGTCGGGCTTCCCCAGCCTTATTTAGAGTCACACAACCTTTATGCATTGCTGAATTTCCACAAGTTCCTTTTCCATCTATCCACTCTTGCTCTGGGTCCTAGAGCTCAGGAGGTGTGGTTTCTGTTTCTAGTGAAAGAACTAAACTTATCATGGAGGCCGACGGCTTCTAGTTCTCAATGAACTGCGAGGGTGCAGGTGAGCGTCCTCGTAGTTCACGGACTCATCCTGCAATTCAGTAACTGTCTGCCCATGCGAGGTACGGGCACACAGCTATACTGAGCGTCTGCAGGACACTGACATTGCACCCGCATTGTGTTAATCGTGGGTGCAATGCCTTACAGGCTGCAGAGTAAAAAAATAATAAATACACTTTTTTCTTTTTTTAAACTACAAAAAGATGTGCATTTACTATTTTTGTAAAAGCTGAATTTATCCTTTAACAACATTCACCAACAGATATGCACTGTCAGATGTCTATTTAAAAATTGCTAAAATTATAATTGGTCTGATCAACTCAAGCACTGCTTGTTGGTAAACTTCCTAGAAGGTAAAAATCCGACTGTATGGGCCAGTTTGATAAAGCAGTTTGTGTACATAAGGTCATTCCTGGTAGTTCAATAAATAGAAAATCTGAATATGTTTCTCCATCAAAACAGAAAAGTGAAAAGGCAGACCACATGAATCCAAAAGGCTCAATAAAATGTATTCAGCTCAGTGGTTAGGACAGAACCTTGCTGAGGTCCACCCGCTCTGACCTCTGACAGGCTTAATCATGGTTCAACTACCCTCAGCTGTCAGTGAAATGAGTCAGAAGGGGCTTTACAGCAGTACTGTGCACCAATCTGAAATGTAGTTTAAATAGAACAGCATTAAGATTCGTTACCACAGCCCCCCCCCCCCCCCCTTTTATGTTCTTCGTGTATTACACTTTCATATCTTCTCAGAAGCCTTTTATTTTCTTCCATCTCTTAATTGTTTTCCACTCATTTGGCGAAAAATGTTCCAGGTACTGCATACAATAGGGGGAGGAGAAGAAATTGCTGTGGTTTTTTTTTTCTGTATAAATCAGTCTTGACAAAATGACAGTGAACACCAGCTGGGAAATCAGTGTGTATGCCTCTCAACTTTCTCGCCATGCTAGTAAAAACCTGGTCACAACAGGCGTACACTGCACAAGTTGTCGGAAATTCACGTGTACACTTTACCCCATTTCCCTACAGTCATGTGCAACAAAGGAGAGTAAATTGATAGAGTGGATCTATGTCCTGGTGCATTAAAGCCCATCTCATCAGAATGAGATCTACTCCTAATGAAGCTCAATGGATTAATAGACACAGGCTGAGCCCCTCTGTGCAGCCACAAATCCAATTGTCTATCTTTTATGGATACAAAGATGGGACAATAAGAAGAATATGGTTAACAAATACAACAATATGTTCACTACAGATAATGAAGACTACGCGCACAATGTAAAATGATTAAGGTTGTTAACTAGAGATGAAGGAAATGTTTCCAGAATCGAGTACATCTGGCCAATTGCAGATTTTTATTTATTTCACTTTAATATGTCTGATTTGCAGATTGGTCCTGACTGCCTGAATGAATGAATCTGGATTCTCTGCAGCTTAAAAATAAATCTATACACACATATATCCAGGAAAATTGTGAGCTTGCTCACCAAATTTACTTAGCTCTGTTGACAACTCAGAATACGAATGAAAAAATAACAGACACCTGACACTATATTAATACCAATGACCTACTAAAGAGTGCAGTAACTTTGTTTTCACTTCTTGGACTTCTGTCATGCAAGTTGTGATTTGTGGTTAATGAGGTTCCACCACACTCTGTGGCCTCATTTTGTGAATGAAGGAGATGGAACTTCCCATTAGGTCTCAGTGATACAAATCCTTTCAATGCCAAGGTGCTGTGCAATATGGGATAAAACTATTGCAACCAGGAATCTACTGCATCTCCTACTTTACATAGAAGGGATTCAGATGGCTGTAAAGCCACTACATCACTTCTACACAGTGTGTAAGTAGCAATAAGACAATCAGAGACATCAGTTGACTCAATTGCTTCCATAAGATGGCTGTCCACACCACTATGTGGCATAAGACAGAGCTAGTCTTTCAGATTTTTATGGACATAAAACTGTCAAGATGGTGGTAAAGGTAAAAAGTGACTACTCAGACCATGTTCCTTTTTCCAGAGCTTCAGGCTTTGTACCTTTTTGCTTTGGTCGTAGATACAATGTCTGAATGGCAGTCCTTATGTACACCCATGTTGTGAAGCTCACAATGTACAGTTTTTTACTGAGAAGCAAAGGTGCATTCAATAGAGTGGTCATTTTAGAAGCTGAACTTTTGAGGCATTGAGCACAACTCACTTTAATCTATTGGTCAACAAGGTTTGTTACAGTAAGAGACTTGTTTTTAGACAAATGTCCCTTGACAAATGGTTCTAAAGGCAGAAGGTTTTTTACCTTAAAGCATTCTGTGACAGACCCAACCGGGACAGGGGCTTTTAGAGGAGACTGTAGGCTAGCCTCTTGCTTACTGACTATGGGCCCTGGCATCTGGGGAGGCTCTATTCTTTGCGAGGTGTGTGCCTGGGGGGACCTTTGGAGTAGTTTTACTTCAGATTCAAGTCCATGTCTCCCTGAAACAAACTCTGAGAACTGGAGGACCAGGATACAGATTTGGTGTCTCTGTGCCCAAACCAGCATTGACTGCTTCAAACCCCCTCCTAGACTCAGAGGAGATGTTAACATAATCAGCTCAAAACAACCCAGTGCTGGGGTTTCTTGCTGTAATCAGTTTACTCAGGTGTAATGTGTTGACTGTTGTGTCTTTCTCCCATTGTTGAGTCAATTGAGTCACCTATTGTTTCTGTCTATTGGCTAGTCCTCGTGGCGGTTCCTACATGATGGGATTAGTCTTGTGTCAACTTTACCTTGTTACCTTACCATTGTGGGATGTTTATCCCAGTGTGTAATATTTGTTGTATAGTTCATATGAGGACTGCCCCTATTTCTGAAGTGTATAAAAACCTGTATTTCTGTTTAATAAAGAGCTCTTAGTTGCACCTAAGCTAGTGTCATCTAGTTCTTGGGTTAAATGCCCAGCTACAATACCTTGGTCCTAAGCCCCAGCGGCGAGGAAGCAGTTCTCTGATGGAAGCACCCAAGCAGGTTGCCAGATAGTCCATCACATTTGTTGGCAACAGTGGGATTTTCTTCCTCCCTTCAGAGCAATCCAAACTACGACTGGGATTATGGATTAAGGAGGACAGAAAATGGCAGCTGAATTTCAGTGGAAACTGCAGGAATCTCTGACCCAGTTTGATTGCCCTGTCTTGGCAGAAGGCGAAGTGGACTGGAAGGATATGATTTGAAGAGAACTGTGGAACAAGGTCTTCAAGGAAGTTCAGGTTCTTCCGGGAGTACTGATCAGCTTGCATTGTGGATACCATTCCTAGGAGAGCATCCTTGGAAGAAATGACTAACGGAGCTGGATAGACTGGTCCAGATGGAAACGGTGCTGGAAAATGAGTATCGAGTGATGCAATAGTATGCTTTCCAAGTGTGTCCGTGGCTGAAGCACAGTGACTCCATTGAAGGCTATGACTTTGGTGGCCCAGAATTGATATTTGAGACACTTAAGGAGGATTCACATTTCGGTAGTGCAGGGGAGTGGAGATGGAACAACATTTGAGATTTTAGGGAGTTTGAACTTCCCAGTGAGCTCGGATTGAGCTGTGACTTGGACTTTATAGCTACACAAGAATGGGAGCTGGAACAAGCATAAAAAAAAGACGGTTCAATGAAGCTCAACAGTATGCCCCAGCACCCATGAATGTTATGGATTATGAGTCACCCACCGAAGCACTGGCACTGGGTCTAAGTGCCACCAGCCCATGCCCTGGATTTTCAGCAATTCCAGAGACTGGGGATTTAAGACTTTTCTGTTTAGGTGGTACAACCCAGTGAGTTTCTAGCAGAAGAGTTTGCATCAAGGCAGAGCACTGCTGATCTCTGCCTACAATAATCGGTGGCCCTGGAGGATATGCGCAAGGCCACTGAATTTTCATTTTACTTCCCAGCGGAAGAGCTGGCATCATGGAAGAGCACTATTGACCTCTGCTCAGCACCAACAGCACTTCCAGAGCTCCAGGGAGCAAGGGCGGGCAGCCCTTCTTCCCAGCAGGAGGCAGGTACAGTGGAACGTCTAACTCCAACTGAAGCGCTGGCAGTAGGACAGAGTACCACCAATCTCTGCCCATATACAGTCACAGCAGAAGCCCTGCCAACAGGACAGAGGGTCTACTACCTCTGTCAAAACACCTGCAGTGACGCGGGACCTCAGGGGGAAGCAGTCAGCGTTTCTTCTCCCCAGAGGCGTAAGGACCAGGGAAGTTATGCAGCTGGCATTCCTCCCCCGCGGTTGGAGGGGGCTTCGGGAGATTGGGCAATTGGTCTAACTCCCCAGCGGCATTACGATGACGTGGGCGAGGAAGAAGCTGTCTTCCCTCCCCAGCAAGGATCCATGCATCTGAAAGACAGTACCAGAGAAATGTCGTCCGCAGCCGGATGAGCCAGCTCATTTCCCCCAGCAGCAGTTCAAGGTCCAGGAAGGGGAAGAAGTCATCTTCCCTCCTCAGCTCCAGATCCACAGTCCAGGGAGAGGAGGTGATCGTCCTCCCTCCCTAGCAGCAGATCCACAGTCCGGAAGAGGAGTTGGTCATCCTCCCTCTCCAGCAGATCCATAGTTTTGGAGAGGAGGTGGTCGTCCTCGCTCCCCAATAGTCAGCCAGAGCAGAGGATGTGGTGTCTCCAGCTGAAGTGCTGGTAACAGGGCAGAGCACCACTGGCCTCTGACTAGCACCTCATGTGTCTTCATGGCTCTAGAGAGTTGGGAAAGTCGGTCCCTCTCCCCAGCAGCAGACCGAGCCCCAGGACGTCAAACACCTCCCAGCTGAAGCAGTGGCAGCCAGACAGAGGGTCCATGACCTCTGCACCTCACCTACTGATGACAACTCTTCCCTGTGGCAAAGAATGGAGATCATATGGGCCTACTATGTGGGTTCACTCTGCCAAACTAAAGCATGCCCACACCAGTTGGAGGTCTGGGACCTTGTTTGGTCTACTTTTGAGGGGGGCAGATATGTGACAGACCCAACCAGGACAGGAGATTTTGGAGGGGACTGCAGGCTAACCACTTGCCTACTGACTATGGGCCCGTGGGGGCTCTATTCTTTGGGAGAGGTGTGCCTGGGAGGACCTTTGGAGTTGTTTTTAACGTCGGATTCATGTCCATATCTCCCCGAAAAACACACAGACTCTGAAAACTGGAGGATCAGGATACAGATTTGGGGTTGGCTGCTTCAAACCCCCTCCTAGACTCAGAGAAGATGTTAATATAATCAGCTCAAAATAACCTGATGTGGAGGTCTCTTGCTGTAATCTGTTTACTAAGGTGTGATGTGTTTACTGTTGTGGCTTTGTCCCATTGTTTATTGAGTTAATTGAGCCACCTATTGATTCTGTCTGTTGGCTAGTCCTCCTGGAGGTTCCTACATGATGGGATTAGTCTTGTGTCAACTTTACCTCATTACCTAACCATTGTGGGATGTTTATCCCAATGTGTAATATTTATTTTATCGTTCATGTGGGGACTGTCTCTATTTTTAAAATGTATAAAAGCCTGTATTTCTGTTCAATAAAAGAGTTCAAGTTGCACCTAAGCTAGTGTTGTCTAGTTCTTGTGTGCAATGCCCAGCTATAATACCTTGGTTCTGTGTCCCCCCAGCAGCGAGGAAGCAGTTTTTTGACAGAAGCACCCAGACAGTCTGATACATTCTAAGCATTAAAGGTAAACAACCGGCAACAGATCCAAAAAAGAAGAGGATCAGAGCTGCTCTGTATAAAACCATACCCTTTGTCAGACATCACAGCCAAGAGAAGTGACAAAACCTTTTCTGTTGGGAGTTAAGGAATACACTCATATCACTTTCTCACCAGCAGTCTGTCAATTGGACAATGGAGGTGCAGTACAACACTGGTCAGCTCTGCTCTCTCCTCCAGTGTGCATGTTCCCTGTCAGCACATGTGCATGCAGCAATGCCTCATTGGCTCCTAGTTCTGCCCCTACCTGTCCCAGTCTGCTGCCAGAGTGCTGTTATACATGAGACGACTAGAGGTAGATATCAATACAGGTTCACAGATCAGCTTTCTATTTCTTTTTTATTATAGGACTTCAGTCATTTTGCCAACTCTCTTCAAGAGACAACATACCTTGATGAGTGGAGTCCGGCCAAAGAAGAAGCCAAACATATAGGCCATGATATCGTTGCAGATCACGCAAGAGATGGGCACAATGAACCTGTTTGAAAAAACAAGAAAGCAATTTGAGAGTGACTGTGTATCCAGCGGTACGCACCAATACAAGAGATGTTATCACAGCCTGGCAAGCTCAATCACTCACATGCCTTCCATGGTATATGTGAGTATGCTTGATCAATTTAGGAAAGATTAGAAGGCTCAATCTGCTATACTGTAAAGCATGTGCTAGCTATTTTAACTCTTTTTAAAAGCTTATTAGCTCTTATTTTTGAAACTATTATATTATCCCTTTTTGCTAACAGCTGTTACAGCTTAATAGGAGCTACAGTCTTCCTGAAGATTTTTAAATAAATATGTTTGTGCTTCTTAATTATCGCTCTTCAGTGGGTATTGCTAATAATGCAAATGGTATGTAATATTTAAATCCCTACTTGAACTGCTACTCTAGAACGGTTGACGATGGCCACGTCAGCTGCTGGCATCTGAAGCCGCAGCAGCCATTCTCTTCCTGTATTTTGTGCAGCTGACTACCCAGCATGCACATCCCAATCGCACGCATGTATGGTAACACTGTACGGGGTCCTGGGTTGTTGACAAGTTGCCATAGCACGTTCCCACCATGTTATATTTCAAAAATATCCGCCTGGGATCGTGTAATTTCTGGCTTTAAAACACCACAATGCCAGAAGTGGAGGAAGCTGTTCACTCCTGGGATATCGGTGTCATCAGTCCCAGAACACCAGAGATGATGTGCATCGCTGCAGTGATGAGGCCGGAAGTGGTAGGAATTTTAAATTTAAAAAAAAGGTACTTATGACAAAAATAAACATTTTCTAAATATTTAAGACAGAGGCATTAGCTACTAATAGTGACATGGTTGTTAGGTAGGATGAAGCTCTGCTTTAATCAATTGAGACTTTGGTATGAAAAATCCATTTGTTCTCACCTAGAGTACAGAATACGCACTGTCTTTTTGCAGCATCACTGGGCAGCCTGTGGTCCCAACTGCTGAAGAACTACACACTCCAGCACAGCCTACTACATAGTGGCCAGTATAGTACATCCTCCTGTCACTGAAAAATACTCCGCTCCATACCAAATCCGCAGATTATCGGTCTTCACTGTCCAATTAAACTAGAGATTTAAAACCTGCATAACAAATGTTGGCACACAAAACCCAAGAGTAATAATCAGTTCTTTATAGTACATGTATGAATATTCTTCCTACTTCCCATGGGTAGAAATGACAATTTATACATCTCTCCTGTGAAAGCAGTGAAGATTTTTGCAACAGCTGCAACTCAAAAGGAAAAAAGAAATAAAACTTAGCGGGAAAGCTTTGGGGCTTCAAGTCACCAAGGCTCCAGCACATTAAGAATTTGTCATCCCATAGTTTTATTGGTGTTTAGGATTCTAACAGCCAAGAGCTACTGGAGATGAATCGTGCTGAAGCAACAAAACAAAATAAACGATCATTCAATGGAAGTGAGGGGGCATTCCGCCTAGTGTTGGATCTTATTACAATGTGTATTCACCTTCACAATACCAGCACTATTGAAGAACTACAAGACACCTTCACCGTCTTTAGGTGTATTGGACTTCATGTTTTTGGCTTGAGTATATGTAGTTCATGGGACTTGTCGCCATCGGGTCTTCTGTATGATATTCATGACCCATTGTGTTCATATTGTTTATGTCACTTATACACCATCTATTTCACATACCCCTGATTTAGGGGGTCACGGTTTTGTGATTTCACGTTAATTTATTTTTTCACCAATCTCACTTGAATCTGTAAGTTTCAGCAGATTTCAGTAATAGATTTGTTGCAGAAATTACTTTGCGTTTATTTTATTTTTCTACATCAGTTTCTACTGTTTACTCATTTATTTATTTAGATTTAATTTTTTCCACTTCCACCTATCCTTTATTATGTTCACTGTGAACACTTACATTTTGGAAGCATTTCCTATAGCAACTAATCAGTTGCAGGATATTTTTTTGTGTGTTGTATTGGTATCACTGAGTTTTGGGATCCTCAATAGAATCATGTCACATTTTTTTTTTGGGCAAAATTCAAAAAGAAATATATATATATTTATATTTACTTTGTAATTATGTGTTTTGTTCACCCATAGTCATCTATTTTATTTCTAGGGGTGTACCTAGGTTACATCTTGTACGTTTGGGTGGTATTCACTATTATCCACAATCTGGATGTTTTCATGTGCATGCTATTCAACAATTTTTGGTTTATGTATATTTATTTACAAGTTTGTACACTGTGTGGGGTAATTACATCACAGGAGTTTATTTATCACCTAGCGCAGCACCAATTAGTCTATTGATCATTCAATACTTCATTTATGGGACTGAGACTGTAACGGTACAGAGCACGGGCGGACTGACCATTTGGATACTCGGGCACTGCCCGAGGGCACGGGGTCAGTAGGGGGCCCCATGAGATGCCCCTGGTACCTTTTTTGAGTTTTGGGCAAGGACAAACAGGGGCCCCGTTGAGATTGCAGTAGGGGGCCCCATGAGATGCCCCTGGTACTTTTTTTAGGCTTTTTTGAGTTTGGGCAAGGACACAGGGGCCCCATGATCCCCTATTGCCCGGGGGCCCCATGAGTTGTCAGTCCGCCCCTGGTACAGAGTATTGTAAGTCTAGGTCTGAATATCTGACACTGGTCATACATTAATGTTTTTGTGACTTCATGCTCATCTCTAACTGTATAAGAGAAACCAGGTATATTTTAACATACACAGTGCACAATTTCCATTCCCTTTCCAATGGCCATTAAATAACTTCTAAATGTTTCTTCTTCCCAAAAGTTTAAGACACCTGTTAGCTTGGCATTTTCATCCAGACAAATGTTATCCTACTGCGCAATGTGAATAGAATATAGTACACGAATATAACAGAGGAACTCTTAGGCCTCGTTCACATGGGGTGTACTACAGCGTATGCTTGTGCTAGAGGTTTTCCATGCATCCCTGTGCAGGCAGTCACACTGATGTCAATTGGGATGCAGTGGCTGTGCGGACACAGCTGCTGCTCTGCATTTGACATCTGTGCGGGTGCACTGCCCTGAACGCAGACCGTGTGCATTCAGGGCCACGCACTTGCATCTGTGTAAAATTGGGAGCAGAGGCTGTGTCCATGCAGCCTCTGCATCCCAGCTGAACTCAATGGGACTACTTACACAGGGGTGCACAGAACACCTGTGCCCACAAGCGGGTAAACATGGCTCTCGCATGGGCGTGCACTATAGTACATCCCGTATCAACATATATTTATAGCATTTTAAATGCCCAAGAAGACTGTATTGTCCAGCCAACCAGTTTTACCCCTTCAACTGCCAGTTCAAATATTTAAACATACACCATGCACCTAACAGAACACATGCTCAGATCACCAGCACCTACAATGTTAATGGTATACAGATAATACAAGCATGTACAAATATACAAATGTCTAATTTCCCTTATGAACTGATGACCTAACTAATTTGATTACACAAACTTTAAATATGAAAATAATTTACCAATTTAGCTGTGCAAATGAAGTGGTATGTAATAACAGCCTTAGTGACCACCAAGAACCTCTGATGTTCACATTTTCAACCATTTCATTATACCTAAAATGCAAACCTTTTTGTGCAATAGGATTTTAATCAGAATCGAACAGTAATCGGATTAGGAGATTACAGGACAATAATTTCTAAAAACGGGTGTTTTTCCTTTACCAGCCACCATTGGTGTATGTCAATGAACCCAACTCACCAGATCATGCCCTCAAACAGATTGTGAATGATTAGATGAGACTGGGTGACAACAATCAGGAGAGTGACATGTGTCCAGCCAAACTAAGGATGAAAAAATAAGACAGTTTATTAGCACAGAACTGGTAAAAACTGAATGATAATTTTGCACTTTATTTTTACTGTAAAATCTGCATATACTATATCATTATACCAGAGAGTCAAAGCACAAATGTTCAACCATAGGGTGTCACTACTCACGGCTGCTGATAAACACTATGAAGAATGAAGTATATTAACCCAAGAAAACAGTGATGTAAGAGTAGGAGAACACAATGTTCACCTCCCAAGGAGGTATACCTTTATTGATGCAGGGTAAGCCATAAGTGGGATGACAATTAGTGTGGTCTCTGCCAGGACAGTGCGGTGGACCGTCCGCTCCTCCTTCACAAAGCTCATGCGCGCGAAATGCGTTGTCATGGTTACCAGCTCTGCTTGCGTCTCAAGGCCAAGATCCAGCTTCCACCCTCCCTTAGGTCATGGTGACGTCACATCCGGAGCGCTGCGACCCCTGGCCAGCTCAGCCACATACCGCTGCTATGCTTCTTTCCCTGCTTGGGTCCATTGAGGAGCGGACAGTCCACCGCACTGTCCTGGCAGAGACCACACTAATTGTCATCCCACTTATGGTTTACCCTGCATCAATAAAGGTATACCTCCTTGGGAGGTGAACATTGTATTCTCCTACTCTCACAGCACTGTTTTCTTGGGCTAATATACTATATCATGTATAAGGGTTTTAACAGCTTTTTTACAATTGAGTCGAAAATACTATTATAAATTGTATCTTTCGCCACAGTGCCCTGACAACTGAAGAAAAAACAAAACATTACAAGCGCAATGTGCAGATAACCAATATCTGGGGGGAAAAGGTCTACTGATCAGGAAAGAAAGCTTAAAACAGAAGTATGATCATATTTGTGTATACTTCTCTTGTGAGTCACAGGAATCCACTTACTTTTGCTCTCCTGTGATCCAGAGACAGCTTATAGTGGATTATTGCCTACTGTCGGTTGACATGGCAGAGCCGCTCCAGGATCTGGAAGGATCCCAACAATATTGTCAGGATCCATCCAGCTGCCTGACTGACAGCTGGCTCCGTCACTCTGCGCCCCTGCCTCCTCTCTAACCCAGCTCTCCAGATAGAGCTGCAGGAGCATAGTGGAAAGTCACTGGTGTTACAGACATGGGACAGAGGTGAGTTTGGAGGTTTAGTCACAGTTGGTATGTCTGATCCATAAGCACCACGTCCAAATAATTACAAGTACAGAAAAGAGTAAAGGCATAAAGGACTTTTAAGGTGCTTATATACCCTCAGGATAGAAAGCTTTGACACATTGGATGTATAAAAGATATAAAACTGTATTACACATAAAATAAAACATACATGCCCTACCGTAAAAACAGGTAAGAACACGAACCCTTCAGTACAGTGAACCCCATTTCACACCTTCCCTCTTTAAACAATAACCATGAACAAGAGGTCACTGATAAATATAACATGAAATTAGGAGGAATGTTTATTTTTTTATAACTGCATTGTAATTGTACTGTCTGTCCTCATGTTGTAAAGCGCTGCGCAAACTGTTGGTGCTTTAAAAAATCTTGCATAATAAGAACCCCAAACTTCCCCCTCAAAAGCCCTCTTCAACTAGTCTACACTAAAAAACAAAAAAAAAAAAAAAAAAAACCCCAAAAAAACATCCTAGCTGATTACTTACTTACCCAAGAAGCACAGCTGCCACCTGCTCAGAAGTTTACAGCCCCTCCAGCAGCTGTACAGCCAGGTGGCCACTGTGCATGCGCAAGTAGTACTGTGCTTTGTGAATGGTCCCAGAAGACTATGGGGAGGGAGGGGGTGGGGGTTGGACAACTTCCGCTTCCAATCACCCCTAGGCCAGGGGTCTCCAAACTATGGCCCTCCAGGTGTTGAGGAATTGCAAGGCCCATGAGGCCTTGCAAGACTGACAGCCACAGGCAAAACTCGCAAAGGCAGAGGCATGATGGGACTTGTAGTACTTCAACAGCTGGAGGGCCATAGTTTGGAGACCCCTGGCCTAGACAATCGCAGTGGAAGTGGGAGTGGGTAGCTGTCAAAGCTGTATACCCCCCTCCCCCCCCCCCCCACCACCACCACACACACACTCCCCAAAAGGTGCCAATTCCTAATGGGGAGCGGGGGATGAGGCCTAAAAGTGGTACTTCCTCTTTTGAGTGGAGCAGCACTTTAACATAACATCCTACTGAGAAACTGAATATTTGGATCTTTAAAAAATTAAGAAAGAAAAAAAAAAGCGCCCGAGAGGCTGAATTCTTAAATCACTTCCCTCCGCTCGTCTCCACCAGCTGATAGCACTATATTCAAACTGAAGGTCACAAATCAGACAGGAGCTTCCTTGTGTATAGTTTAGACATCTATGGCCTTTTTGGCATGTAGGTAGACTAAAGCTGGCCATACATGTTAAGATTTCTCTGCCACGGGGGTTCAATGAGAAAAGCCACTTAACCCCCCCCCTCATCCATGTTGAACAGCATGGATGGGTGAATGTGCAGTGCTGGCTATTTCATTCTGACAGTCGGCAACTGTGGCTGTCAGCATACCTGAACACATGACTGGATGGAGGTGCTGTTTGACTGAGAACATATTCGAGTCAGGTGGTGGATTCAGAGCCACCTATGGAATGAATTTTGGCCAATTCAACAGGAATCATCTGAAATTCTGTACACGTATGACCAGCTTAAGCAGTAACACATAATTTCTATGATGTAGCCAAATCCATTAAATATTCTGAAATTAAGTTTAGTATTCTAAATACCATAAAGAGAGCCTGCAATCCTGAACCTGACAGACATTTTAAAAAAACCAGACCTACACTTTATGGAAAAAGCCTGCAGCACTACATGCAAAATGACATATCACTGCCATTATTTACCATATAAAACTGGAGACGATAATGCTTCTTCACCAGACTCAGAACAAACATGCAGAACCCTGGAGGAAAATAAATACACAGTCATTGGTAGTAAACATAATACTTATAATTTTATGTACACAAAACCACTGTATACTATGTACTATAGCCTGCGCTCCAGACTATACTTGTCTTTCTTGTATCCAGTTTGCAGAAAAATGGTTCTCCGCAGTCATCAGCCACCGTACATTTAACTTTTAAATAATCCAAAACAAAAGGAAGGGACAGCAACTTACCATAAAAGTCCATTCTATTTTATTAAAGCCAAAGGATGCACAAACAGTTCCACCTGGTGTCATGACACCTCCAACGCATTTCACTCCTCACAGGAGCTTTGTCATAGAGTCACATACCCTAAATCACTAAGCTCCTGTGAGGAGTAAAATTGTCAGGGACCATCGCGACGCATGGGTCTGCACATGCGTAGGTGTCTGTCAAGACATGCAGGCAGCAGGGCACTAGGACCCAGGAGCACCCGTCGCCTATGACGGTGCTGGGCAGGCACTAGGACCTAGGCTGCGCCTGTCAGGTGCAGGGCGGGCTACTTAAACCAGCCCTGCACAGACACAAGTTGCCGTATGGTCTGATCTTATTCCTGTATTCTGTTGCTGAAGATTCGTTGCTGACCTGCCTGGACCTGACCTCTGCTGACTTCTCCTGCTCTGACCCCTGGCTAAGTTTGACCTCTCTTTGGATATCCCTACCTGATCTGAACTACTGGTACCGACCCCGGCGAGTGACCTGACTATTCTTCTGCCTGCTGCCTTGTACTATGCTGACCTCTCTGTTACCGACCTGGCCCGTCTGACCATGCTCATCCGTCCATCCATCCGGCACGGATCCAGCCATCCCTGCTTCCGCCTTCTGCCTCTTCACATCAGGTTCTCCACCTGCAAGTCCATCCCCACCCTCAGGGGCCCTGGTGAACAAGCAGGCTGGGGCTTAGACTCCGCGCTCTGGGGAATCCTGTCCTGTGGGCTGCTAGAGGTACCACCAGGCGGTTGCTAACAAAAGTGCTTTGGCAACATCTTGGCACCAGGTGGAACTATGTGCATCCTTTGGCTTTAATAAACTAGAAGTTGGCTTTAATGTTGAGCGTCTCTCCCTTTCTTTGTTTTGGATTACTCAAAAGTAATATGTACACATTTGTAAAGCAAAGGAAACTGTAATGGGAAAGACATTAAAATTAAAATTAGTTGACTTCAAGTCATTCATACAAAATAGAAAGTATCTACTAGAAAAATAGTACATATGGATTGGAAAAGTGTTTATATTGACGTGTTTACAAGAAATAATGGCTACATAAATTATACCAATGTAATCCCATACTTATGTTGCACTTAAGTGCTTTGCCTAACTACTAACAAATTTACAAATGATAATAAATACTGGATGGCAGTCTTCTGGAGTAATTCGAAACTAAAAGCCAACAGATTTAGATTTCCCCTGCCTGCATTAAAAGTCAGATGCCCGAAACAGTTTTATTTTATGCACACTGGATTCCTAGCTCCTGGGATTAGTCCAGCCTTGGCAGCAAACTTCAACTGGTTCACTCTTTGTTCACTTGTACAGGAAGTTCTCAATTTCACCCGAGATGAATGCTCACTAATTCGACTATTATGTGTGTACTTGTCATTCATGTATGAAACCGTCAAGTCAGAAGATCCAGACTTTCACTATGCAGGACATCTGCCAATAGTGGACACCAAGATGGTGTGGCATGTCACTCCATTAACACTAATTCCTCGGGTCCATCTGTAATGCAACCTCTGGCTGCCACAGTGAAGATGCTCCCGGACAAGGGCATTAGAATGTAGGAAGTAGGAATGCTTATACAAATTATATTTTATGTTTAGATCCATTTCTTCTCTCATTCATCCAAAAAGTCATCATATAATTGTAAAGTAAGTGGGTTGGATAGGAATAACAAACATAATGGTGAAACTTTTCAACAGCTAGAGAATTTTAATAAATAAGGCAACTAATTATTTAGAAGACTCGTTGGGTGGTTTTAAGACAGGAAGACTCGCAAAACTAAAATATCCTGTGATCATACACAGTTAATCACTAGCGATCACTACACATACAATGCATGTGGATGTGAAAGTTGGAGAATTTAAATTGCCACTACATGCTGCACTACATTTATTCTACGTGTGGCTAAGGCTGAATTTCAACCAATGCATTTTTCTCTAATGCGATTTCCATTGAAAATCAATGAATAGGCATCAAAAAGCATGTTGCACATTTTTAGTGTGTGCAATGCACTTTGGAGACATATGACAAGCATTATGAAACATCAACGTGTCATGATGTGGTGACGTGCATCTTAACGTAAAGAGGAGCTCCAGTCTCCAGTGTAAAAATTAAAAGTCAGCAGATACAAAAACTGTAGCAGCCGACTTTTAATAAACAGCCACTTACCTGTCCCTGTGCTTACCCCAGCAGTTTTCACCTCCCGTCTTTGGCCCCCTGCACCAGCATCTTAACCATGGGCACCCGACTGACAGCTTGTGAGCTTCACATGTGCGAAGCTCACTGTCCATTGTGAATGGTCCTGCAGCCTTCTGGGACCTGTGACGTGTCCTAGATGACTGCGGGGAGGTGGGTCGGGTCAGAACTTTCGCTCTGATCACCTAGGCCACAGGTGCCAAACACAAGGCCCATGGCTCCTGGCCATTTTATGTGGCCCTTGCACTTCTCCTGCAGGTACCCCCCTCGTCTCTGCCCCCACCTTGTCTCAGTAGTCGGCAGCAGAGAGGAAAATAGAACTCCTCTGCCAAATCCTGCACCTCTCAGTGCAGCTGCAGCACCCCCCCATCTCTGCCTTCCCTGGTCTCAGCATTCAGCAGACTCTGGTAACTGACTCCACTCCTCCTCTGCTCCTCCTCCAGACCCTGCACTTTCTGCTTTCCAGCTCTGCCCCAAAGGGGGTGCACGGTGATGTTAGGGAGGGTGTGGGATTCTTGACATCTGATGTAAGGGGGGGGGGTGCTTTGGACATCTAGTCTTACAGATACAACTGGCCCTTTGAGGGCAACCATAATGCTGATACGGCCCACGATGAAATGGAGTTTGACACCTGTGACCTAGGCAGTCGGAGCAGAAGTGAGAGAGGCTGTCAAATTCAGGTACTTCCTCCCTTCCCAAAAGAGCCATTTCATAAACAGGAGTGGGGGGGAGGAGGCCTTAAAGCGGGAACTTCCTCTTTTAGGTGAAGCTCTGCTTTAAATGGAAAATGTATCAAGTGAAAACATAAAGGTGTGAATCTGGCCTAAGAGCTAGTAAATATTCACTGGGTGAAATTAAAGTGTCATTAAAGGAAGAGGGATAAGAAACCCTGTCAGTTTGTATTGCTTTCTGTGCCCTCGGGAGACTCCCCCTCTCTATTAGTCCTGTTTACCATTATCATCTAAAAGTAAAAAGAAAAGAAAATCACACATTTTAGGATGACATCTGAAGAATAAAGATGACTGGTGTTCTAATTCTCTTATACAAAATGCCTTTAGTGACACTGTTCAGAATGTGCACCCATTAGGCTTGGCGCTCACTTTTTAGTAATGTAATGTGCAAAAAAAAACAAAACAAAAAAAAAAGCAACCTAATGATCAGGGAAAAAAGTGAAAAACAGATCCATTTGTATTTAGTGCAGTTTAAGTGAAAGCTAAAAGAGTACTTCCTTGTAGGCAGCATACTTCTAACAATTAACTATTCACATTACTAATGTATAAAACTGCAACCCACCCATCAGGTACAAGGCAAAGGAGATGAATCGATGGTATTTGCTAAGGATCCTAAGTGGCTCCTCCCTTTGTACTAGAGTGAAGAAATAGTCTGTCACGGTCTCTCCATAGAAGAAATAGTTGACACACAGCAAGAAGTACCTGCAGGAATCCAAAGGGAGCAATTACAGACACAACAGAATTAAAAAAAACAAAAAACAAAACAAAAAACACCACACAATCAGTTCCCACACAAGAATAAAGTATATTTCATTATTGTATTTGTTCTTCTTGCATTTCAAAGTTACGTTCCAATAATCAAAAAAAAATAATTTTTCAATGTGTAGTAAGAGAACTGGTTGTTAAAACTGTTCCAATATCAAAGGGGATCACATTTAAAAGTCAATCCCACATCTTTTAGTGAACGTTTAGCATATGCCAGCTGCTTAGCTATTCCACTGCCAGAGACGTTTTTTGCATACATTTAAAAAAATGTATTTCAGGCCTGAAGAGTACACAAAATCCCAAAACATTTTATATTTTCTGAAAGTAGAGACCCTGGAGAATAAAATAGTGGCAATTCCAATTGTTTTATGTCACACAATATTACCACAAAAGGTCTAGAAAATGCACAATTTCAGTAAAAAAACACATCAAAGTGAGTATTTAGGGCAAACAATTCCCACATTTTTGGTAAATATAAAAGACGAGGTTGCGCCAAGTAAATTGATACCCAACATGCCAAACCTCAAATTTGTGTGTGCCTATGAAATGGTGACAAACTTCAGTACCCTATATTTTCAATAGGTGATGTTTTAAAAGCCTTTATAGGTCATCAGTTTAGTGTTACAGAGGAGGTCTTGTGCTAGAATTATTGCACTCACTCCGGCGTGCGCAGTGATATGTAACGTGTATCATAATCGATGTCTTCACGCATAAGTGCTCCAACATGTGCGTTTGTACAAATGTATGTGGGGGTGAGGGGCTCACTTTTTTTTTGGGGGGGGGGGGGGTGTTCTGTGCTTGGGTATTTATTTTTTTGCAATTTAATAAAAAAAATTCACTTAACTTAGTGTCCCTTTTGTGATGGAAAAAAAAAGTCCCCTATGCAATGATTTTTAAGTGACAGGTTCTCTTTGAGACCCTGCATGTCTCCTCTGGTCACCACTAGATGTATTGCAATGCAGATCGCACTGGTACTGGGCGCTGTGGAAGCGTTTGAGCAGCAGTGCCACCGCCCAACTGCTTCCACCTGACAGGCAGGAGTCTGCCTGTCAGATTTATACACAATCCCGACGGCTGCAGCCACCGGATTGTGTATAAAACCCCCCGCTATCAGGTCTACATGCAGTACAGACCTGGCATTGAAAGGGTTACAGCAGTAATAAACACAAAAATGTTTATATATTGCAGCTACCAGTCCTTAGAGGGAAAAAAGTCTAACAAAGAAAATGAATGATGCAGCCATCACATAGGTATTCATCTGGTGATCTGGCCAGTAATACATCTCCTTTATTATACAGACACCACTCTGGAAGAAGGAGCACAGGAGGCACCTCTGGAAAGCATCATTGTTGGTCTGAAGGTTTTAGATGTGCTAGCAGATTATGGATACGCTAACAAATTGAAGCCAAACACCAGCTCACATTGCAGTTACACAAGCAGTAAAGGAAACAGGTTTTTTTTTTTATTTTTCTATTTGAAATAAAGGTTTATAATGAAGGATAAAGATTTATACATAAATAAAAGCTGATCACTGTCAGCACCCTTGTCCATAGTAAATTGTTGTCTCAACACTGATTGCTAAATCAGCAGGAGAGCTTGTCGAAAAACGGAATGACTGGCTGGATAACTAGGTAAAAAAAAAAAAAAGGAAAAGAAAAGATATAAAAAATAATGAAAACAAATGCAGCCACCACTTCTAAGAATATGTTAGCAGCAATATAATAAATATTTGATTTTGGGTTTAATACCACTTTAAGCTGGACATACACAGTTAGTCTCCCCCCCCTATAAAATAGATTTTATGTTTTTGGTTTTTAAAGTAAACCTAAACCCTAATGAGATATAGGGGAAGATTACTAAAACTGGTACACTCAGAATCTAGTGCAGCTGTGCATGGTAGCCAATCAGCTTGACCATCACTAAAACAGGCAGCTGCAAACTGAACAAATCACTCTTAGGAGAAAACTTTATTGCAGACCTGTAATCTGGCAGTCCCCATCCATAGCCACACCCCTTATCTATAGATATTTATTTCAGGTACTTATACAGCACCACCAATTTACACGGCGCTTTACACATATATATTGTACATTCACATCAGTCCCTAACCCTCAAGGGGCGTACAATCTAAGGTCCCTAGCTTACATTCATACATACACATACTAGGGCCAATTTAGACAAGATCCAATTAACCTACCAGCATGTCTTTAGAGTGTGGGAGGAAACCGGGAGTACCCGGAGGAAACCCACGCAAGCACAGGGAGAACATGCGAACTCCAGGCAGATGGTGCCGTGGTTGGGACTCAAACCCTAGTACTGCCAGGCAGAAGTGTTAACCATTAAGCCACTGTGCTGCCCATTTATTAAAGTTCAATTGGCCACCAGGCGGTGCCTAGTGCTGCCCCGAAATAAAAAATAAAATCGTGCACGCACTATTTTTTTTTTTTTTTTTTTTTTTTTTAAGCGCACCATGCCCACACATCACAGCAACGCAGTATTGTAAATCGGGCATGCAGGAGACAAGGAATTTTGACTGTGTTGGAATAGAGGCCCAGAGCAGTCCCACCGCATCTGGTGTGTATGGAGTCTTATTTAAAAATGTATTTAGCATGTCAATAGGGGGTAGCAGAAAAACGGGACCAGGGAAGGCAAAATATAGGCAGATCAATTTCAGTTTTAATAAAATTCAAAGCATTCCAAATGTAATTTTAGTGCATCTTTTACCCACCAGCTAAGTGTCCGGAACCAAGGCAACTCATAGGAATGGTAGACATTGTATCCAATCATAATGATCTCCTGGAAACATTTAATCTGCACACACATCACCTGCAGAAAGAATCAAACATTGTAAAATTGTTTTGTTTTGGGGAAAGAAGGAAGAGGTAAAAGCACTTACAATCATCATCAGCACGAGGGGTCCCAAATAGATGATGATGAAGAAAAAGCCAATCATGGCTAACGTTAAGATGCCTCTGACCCACCAGTTCTTCCATCTGTATGGAAAGAAGAGAACGGTAAATGTAAAACAGAATTGTAAGTAGGCCATTGTTTATGGTGTAGACTAGAGTTTGAGATCCTAAACTGACAGGCTGGAATGTATACTCTAGTTCAGTGTTTCTCAACCTTTTTTCAGACAAGGCACCCTTCAAAATTATGGATAGTCCCGAGGCACCCTTTAAAATTATGGACAGTCTTGAGGCACCCCATTCTAAAATGTGAAAATTATTCTAATAGTTTTATATAAACGCAGAAACATCCACACATGTAGGGCACCCAACATTAGAGGTGATTTATTCTTCCAAAGCAAATACACTTTTGCACACTGGTACTGACTAGTATTCCAGAGTTTCTCTCCTCCCTCAGTTTTTCTCCATCACTAAACTAATGTGACCCCAGCAGTGACGGAGAAGGGCAGGGGAGGGGCAAACTAGGATTCTGTGCCTTCAGATGACATCCTCCTTATTAACTGATGATGTCATTGGTTGTCAGGATGTCGGCGGCTAGAAGGTCGTAATGATGAACAATGAAAACCTGTGGTTTTGTGTAACTAAAAGTCAGGCTTGATCCACCCGCTGGCTTTTTATACAAGTTTTGGGCAGTTTTTAGATATTTTGCCAAGGCACCCCTGAAGAAACCTCAAGGCAATCTGGTTGAGAAAGGCTGCTCTGGTTGACAGCTACTCTCAGAATTGATATGTATAAACTGCTGAAGCTGAACTCTGCGCACAAAAACTTTAGGACATATATCCACTTTGTGTGTACCAAATGAATTTTCAGACCTAGTTACTACCTTATAAAACTAGCAGTGACATCATCACTGTGCTGTATATAGCCTGTGCAGAACAGAGTTGTAGGAGGGGCCCCACCAGCTTCACCTACTAGAGTAGTGGTTCTCAAACTTCCTAATGCCGCGACCCTTTAATACAGTTCCTCATGTTGTGGTGACCCCCAACCATAAAATGATTTTCATTGCTGCTTCATAACTATAATTTTGCTACTATTATGAATCGTAATGTAAATATCTGATATGCAGGATGTATTTTCAATAGTTCTGTGATTGTACGAGAACATTTTTGTGCCTGTCCCTTTGGATATTTTCACATGAACTGTCATGACCAGCCCTTGACAGAGAAGTACTAATGATCAGATTATCAGAAAGCGTTTTCATTTTGCGCCCTGGTCAATCGACTGAAGGAATTTGATGGGAACGGAAGTTAATCTGATTGCCATTTGGATCTGATAGTAAAATTGAAGTGTGTATGGCCAGTATCCCCCCCTTCCCCTCAGGGATATCAGCCCTCTCCCACACCAAGGCGTCTGTCCTGAGGCTCCTTGTATGACCCCGGAACGTTTGGGATTGCTGGTCGCTGTGTACTTCCCTCTAGCGGTCCGTGTGCCCCAGTGCCAGCCCTCGTACAAGTGCTGTGAGGAGAAGCCTCCGTGGGAGGTGAGCGGCTGTAGGGCACACGCTCTGCGGGTAACCAGATCCCCCTTCCCTGGAGGCAAAGGGGGGCCCGGCTCACATCTATCCAGCTGTTGTGAGCAGCTGCCCACTCAGGGAAACATGCATCAGGTGCAAGGGCAGCCAATGGGTGGCAGTGGGGCACCTCCGACTCACGAGGGGCCTCCAGCCTGGCCAGATGCTCATATCGCACAGGGAGCATGCCAGTCAGTGTGCAGATGTTAGTCCAGCGTGAGAGGCTCGCAGCAAGCCGAGCCCCTCCGGCCGCCCTCACCACTACCTCATAGAGTCTATCTACATGTGGGAGGACCCGCCAGGAGACGGATAGAGGAGCGGTGTCTCGGTTCCTAAGACCATCGGAAAATATGTGTTTCCTGATGGTCTTAGGCGACCCCTGTGAAAAGGTAGTTCGACCCCCAAAGGGGTCGCAACCCACAGGTTGAGAAACACTGTACTAGAGGCTGCCTGCAGAAAACTACAGGAGGGGGCGGAGACAAGACCACCCACCTTGCATAAGGAGAGAGAGCAGTAGTGAGCAGTCTTTATTACAGGAAGCTCCTGCACAAAAGGAAAATTTTAACACACGTCTGGAAGAAATACACAAAGTACACCAAGATCAAGTAAGAATACACGGCTCTTGTATTTGGACAATATTTGCTCATGTCAGAGTTGAGCTTTAAAAAGGACATTCACAAAATGAATGGAAATGCTTTTCTGCAGTAACACAGGGACTGCCACAGGTCAGTTGTAAATTATTCCTGCTCTCACAGAGCATCATCTAACAAAAAAGTACAGTCTGTGCTAAATAATGTTAAAGTCCATCAATTACACAAAAATCCATGCTCAAAAGTGAAACCCAACCATCAACAGAGATGAAAAAACCCTCATTCAGTTTATCAAGAGGAGGAAGATGACACCTCCTAGGATCCTGGTGAAAACGACAGACATGCAAGAGCTCCTACCAGAGCTATTGGGCTTGAATATAAAAAAAGCCACCAGCTCTTTAGGGGTTAACCCCAAATGACTCTCCAGGGTTTGTGGTGCAGGGATGGTTCTGTCCTTGGCTCCGCTCCAACTCTGTGTTTCCACCAATAAGTCATGCAAGGAATAAGCACTAATAGTGTAGTATGCCCAAAACTAACATTTTATTAAGGATAAATGAATACACTCACAATAGTTTAAATGTTGCATAGCCATCAAAGAACAATCCCAGAGCTGCAGCAATCCCAATGTGTGGCCGTTCTGGCCAGCTGCCGTGTAGCATGGTGACGTCACGTGTCATAAAGCATCACTCTATTTAAAGGGCACCCCTCCAACAATGAAAGAGAGAAGGAAAGGTCAGAATGCCTGTCAGGTTTTAAAGACTTTTGTGCTGCAGACAAAAACAGGAAATGAGTGGAATTCTCCCCAAAGAAATTAGAAACCCTGCCTTGAGTGCGGTCACCAACAATGATGTCCTATTAGAAGGTTTTTCCTTACCTAGCATTAAAAGTGACAAATTTAGAATTTTTACATTCCCGCCATCTGTCCTTGTGATGATAATCAAAGGGTGAATCTCCGTAACTGATGTACAGGCAGAAGAAGAAGAAGAAAAAAAAAAAAAAAAAAAAGGGGGAAAAAGGGCAGCTTTCCATTTCCATATATTAACCAAACTAAGAGAAACACACTTTGGTTTGAGTTACTTTCTGCCCGGATTCACACTGTGTGAGCTGCACTTAAGAGATGCCCGCGCATCATTCATTCTGAATGGCACCCCCCACACATCTCAGCTCCCTTGCGGGTACGAGAACCGCAGGGTCAAAAAGACCATGCAGTTTCCCTGCGGCAACGTTTTTTAAAAAGGTGCATGCACCTTTTTTGCAGAAATTCAGGCACAGCAGCCTATTCAAATGAATGGGCTGCCATGCCTACGCAAACGTGGGACACACGGTCCACACAAGTGTGAACCAGGGCTGAATCTTTCTATACAATAAAGGGAAGTTGCAGACTTTACCAGCAGATGGCACAAAAAACACTAACCTTCCATTCACATCAAGCCCGACTTTGAAATCGTGCGACTTACAGTGAAGTCGCACGTTTTCAAAATTGGGGGACCCACCAATTTCAGGTGCTATTTACAAGACATCTGATACAGATGTCTATGCAAATCGCACCAAAAGTATTACATGTACTACTTTTGAAATCGGTGCGGTTCTGACTTGATATGACTGCTCAATTGCGGACAATAGGGTGCAACTTGACATGCGATTTGCAGGTCGCATGGCATGCAAATCGCATGCCAAGTCGAATCGAAGTGAATGGGGTGTAAGAGAAGAGATTTACTAAAACTGGTACACTCAGAATCTGGTGCAGCTGTGCAGGGTAGCCAATCAGTTTCAACTTGATCAATTAAAAGGATAAGTCCACCTTTCGTAACATGTTATACCCATATTCAGGGTGCAACATACAATTTATTACTGTCTGACTAGTCCCTGCAGCCCCCCCCCCCCCCCCACCGATGTGACAGCTAGCAGGGGATCTTATCCCCCTGCTCCGCCTGCCCAGCCATGTCATTCATTGACAGAGTTCTGTGAATGGGAAACTAAAGCCTTTGTGGCTGTCGGCTTGTAGTTCTTAATGGACTATCTCAGCGCTGTGGTAGTTCATTTATTCTTCCTGTCAGTGTGAAAACTGCTTGCTCCTAATAGATACAAGCAGACAGATTATACCGACAGTCAGTGGGAGACCTGCATGGCACCAGTGATCTGCTGATCACTGGTGCAATGCCTTCAAGGCTCTCTTAAAAAAAAAAAAAAAACAAACAAACAAAAAAAAACCAGCAAATGCACATTTTTTTTACCAGAAAAAAAAATCATGCTGCATCAAAATGCATGGTACTTCGATACCAAGCTATTCTGTGTGTTTGTTACCAAGGTGCAATGGGATCCCTATAGGGGTTCCAGCATCAGATGTGTTAACCTCGTGTTGTTCTGTCCAAAAGGTAGGAGGAAAGGAAAAGCACTGCAAGATTGAGTATTAGGCGTAAATGGTCACACATTTGCAGATATAGTATATAATATGCTGGCTCCACAAGCAACATTAAAGTGGAACTTCACTCGCTCAATCAACATAGATTATATTTAATCCTTATGATGCTAGCATTAGTAAATGGATAGGAAAGTAGATCATATTTACTTATTTTACAATTGTTCAGTTACTTCCTGGTTTCTGTGCCTAGGCAAATGTCATACATCGCAGCAGTCTTCAGGAGGGGCGGGAGGATTCTGAGCTCAGCCAATGCCTGAGCTAAGGGCAGATGGATTGCAGGAAGTAAATGTTACAAGAATCATCTGCCCTTTACTCAAGATGGCCACTGCCAGAAATGCTAGGGGGTGTTTTTTGAAAATTTTCAGCAAAAAGCATGGAGAGATGGATGAATGGGCAAGTTTGCTTTGAATAATATTGATTAATTAAATAGATGTTTGGTTTGTGGTGCTCAGATGCAGTGCAATTCTACTTTAGGTAAATTAAAATAGCCAGTAAGCTGCTACTG